GGATGCTTTCGAATATGTTTATTTTTATTTTATTTACCAACCTGCAATATACATATTTAAACCACGTTAAAAGAGTCAGAACTACAGACCAGGGGCACTCAACATGTCAACCTCTACCTGAGTGGCCAAGGGTGGTGCAGCTCCCACGGGGAGAACATGGCATTGAAAGAAACCCTTATGGAGCCAGGCAGCAGAGTGCCTGGGCGGCCCTCTGGTTCCTAGGAGAACCCTGGGTTGCCCCACATACCGGCTCTCAAGCAGCTTGAGGTGTCCACGGTGGTACTTCCTGGACAACAGACAAGCTGCTGACCCAACATGAATGCTGGGGGGGGGCACATGACTCCACTGCCTCCCTCCTCTGGCTGTCTCCCCGTACAGCACCCCCCACCCCCGATTGCTTGCCTGGTGTGTGCTCACACCAACTGCAAAGGAAGGGTCCTCCTCCAATGTGCATCTGGGGCACAGGGACTCATCCGGCGGGAAAGGTTCTAACCAGCCTCATATCCACCCTAGGCTGCCCTTACCATAGCCAAGGAGGCTGGAACAGGAGGGGGCCTTCCTTCTGGGTGCTGCCAGGCTGTCAGCTCAAGGGTCTCCAGGCAGCCCGTTCCTTCCCACACAGTCCCATCTAACAAGCCCTGGCCACTTGGGGTGAAAATGTCAAGCACACTTTGCTCAGGGCCACCTAACGTTTCCCTTAGGACTCTCCCATGGGTGCATCCCCACCTAACAGAGGAGCCCGAGACCCTGAAATGTCACCCTGGCCCGACTCCACATCAGGGCCTATCTCCACCGCTCTTCACGTTTCCTCTCCAGCCCACATCTGGCCCTGGAGGTCGTCCGTCCACTCAGGCTGCCTGCACTCACAGGATCCCTGCCCCACCCTGGAGAAGAGAAAGCTCCCGCAGTGGAATCTGCCGCTCAGCAACAAGCTTGCCGAGAGCTTGGCAGCCTTAGCCCCAGTCACCACTCCCAGGAAGCCCTGGAGCCCGGAGTGCTCCCTGACCCCAAGGCCCGAGGCCGGCTCCCGCCGGAGCTTTCGCTGGCTGCGGACAAGGGTGAATTTGCAGAGAAGGAAGGAGACGCCGGCGCCTCTCGACTTGGCACGTGTCAGCAGCGTGGGCCAAAGACCAGGCTACCTTGGGCGTGGGTCCAGGGCCGGTGTGCGTCCGGGGTCGTCGCTCCGCACCCCAGCCAGCCTGCGAGCCTGCACCGGTCTCAATGGCCTGGCGCTGCCCCGCTCCGTCCCCTAAGCAGACCTTGGCCGTCGTGAGCCGCCCGGTCGTTGTCGTCGTTGTCGCCGCCGCCGTGCGTGCCGGGTCTAGTGGTCCTAAACATTTCACAATTGCGGTACAGAACTGTTGAACTGTTAAGAACCACTGGACCCGGCGCGCGTGCAGACAGAAGCTCCGCGTGGCCGGGGGCTCCGGGGCCACAGGTCCGCGCCCTCCCACGACCTGGCCCGC